TTGTCCAGCCATCCTACATGTCCAGCTCCTCTACTTGATCAGACCCTATCCATGTCCAGACTCTCTACATATCATGACTATATACCCAGACCCTCTACTTGTCCAGGCCCTCTACATGTGCAGACTCTCTACTGGTCCTAATTATATGTCCAGACCCTCTACTTGTCCAGACCCTCTACATGTCCAGACCCTCTACATGTCCTGACTATATGTCCACACCCTCTACATGTTCTGACTATATGTCCACACCCTCTACATGTCCTGACTACTGTATATATATCCAGACCCTCTACTTGTCCAGACCCTCTACATGACCAGACGCTCTACATGTCCTGACTATATGTCCACACCCTTTACATGTTCTGACTATATTTCCACACCCTCCACATGTTCTGACTATATGTCCACACCTGTCTCTACATGTCCTGTCCACTGTATATATATCCAGAACCTCTACTTGTGCAGACATTCTACACGTCCAAACCCTCTACATGCTCTTTTGAGTCTTTTATGAAAGTTTGCTGAGTATCTTGAGGATGCTTTCTCAAAGGCCTTGTCTTAGAGGTCTCATAGGTCTGTTCTCAGAGGTTTCATGGTTCTGGTCTGCAGGCTGAATCTGCAGCTCAGAGAGGGACGAAGGAACATCATCCCTCTCCACTCAGATATTTATATCCTGCAGCAGCTTTACTGCACATTAATCTTACATAACAGCCACCCCTCCCCCTGTTCTGTTGGGTCGGTCACCCCTACTGTAAGTACAGAACCAGAGGCTACAGGAGCCTGCATAGGACAAACATCCAGATCCTGTTACTCAGATCCAGTTTCACTCAAAATGTTTTTAAACAGAGAACAAAACAATAAATTATTAAGAGCTCTGAACAGAACTCAGGTGATGAGTCAGTATTGGTCTGAGGGGACCTTAGAGGATCTAAGAGGGTCTGATGGAGTCTGGGAGGGTTTGAGAAGGTCTGAAAGGGTCTAAGAGTGTCTGCCAGGGTCTGACAGGATCTGAAAATGTCTCAGGTTTAAAGCCTGAAAGAGGAACTTCTGTTCTTTGAGCCCTCACTAAGGCCACTTTGCCATTGATAAGTGGGACTCGGGTCGACTCTCGTCTTGTCTCGATTGATGGATTAAATGCACAAAATTCATCACTGCATAACAAATGACGACAAAACGTTGTCGCTTCATCGGTTCTTCTCAGCTGGACGTGAATTGTGACGTTTCCCCGCCCTGAAGGCAGGTTGTCAGTGCAAAGTGGGAGGTTTCTTGTTTCGACGTCCAGCTTGTGCTGAATCTTCTGATTTGCCAATAAAGACAGAACGTTCGGGACCTCATCGTTGGTCTAAGGTTCTGTTTTTGGAGCTTCCATACTGAACTAGAAACTAGTGAAAACAAACCCAATCTACAACGATCGGAGAGGAAGAGGCGGCTCAGCTGTAGTTTGCTGTCACACGTCAACCCGTTTGGATGCTTACCTGCAAAATGACCTTCAGAAATCTGTAAAATTAAAAAAAACGGTAGTAGTCACACGATACGGGGGGTGGGTTGGCTGTGGAGGGGAGGCAGAGCAAGGAGGACAAAGAGGGGTCGACCTCAGCATTTTCTTATGAGCCATCTCTGAGACATAAAATAAATTAGAAACTGATTTTTGTAAATCCGTAAGACGACACGTATGTGCTGGGCGGGTCATCCAGAGATGTAGCTCCGTCGACCATTCAACGGCTGCTGTTTGCTTACAATAAAATCGTCCCCTCAGAGCAGCCTGCTTGGAATCATGAACATGATGGACCCATAAACCGGGATGAATGGGGTACCATCAGTGGGCGAACCCTTAACTGGTGTGGTGCAGAACCAATGAAGGCAGAGACTGTGGCAAAGCGCCATAACAGAGACAAATGGTGAGGGTGTGGAGGGGGACATGGGGGACAGCTTTAGGTCAGAGAGATAATTTGGGATCCAAAGCGTGCTGGTTGACCTTCCTGTCCTCGTATTAGTTTGTCCATATTCTTTCCAGAAAAGAAAAAGTTTGTATCATCAGCAAACATTATAAATGTCACAATACTGGATACTATAAAAATATAATTTAAAAAAAGTATAAATAATTTAGGTCCTAGAACTGAGCCTTGAGGAAGACCACATTTTATACTTTCAATTAGTGACTTTGTGTTGTTAATTTGTACGTATTGTAACCTATTACTCAAACAACTCTTTACCCACTGCAGTTATGAAAGAGACTAATAACTGGTGCATGGCAGCACCAGTTATTAGTCTACACCTCGGACGCGTGTCTCCTTTTCTACCTCCGTTAATGCGGCCCGGACCACAACGTGGACCCCTCAAAACTTTTATCAAAACGACCGGCTCGGCCCCGAGAGGTGTGCTATTACTTTTATTGGCAATCAGAGGTGACATATTTTGCTAACAAAGACAAGTAAAGTCTTCACAGGAAATGAGAGGGAACGCTCGTCACACTAACTGCTGTGGAGTCACATGACAGGTTCCTGACGGAAACAGAAACTCACTGTTGGATTTGTTTGAAACTCACAGAAAGTAATTATCTGATAAATGTCTAGAGCTGATTAACATTTGGAGCCATTTTGATCCAAGATGGCTGCCACGGCTACCTCAGCAAACACAAAACTCGGCCATTTTTAGAGCTATTCATCTGAGCTGTGGAACAGTTGTAGCTGAGAGCGAAGCCCAACACCTTCTACGATCAAATCAAGAATTGACACCAACAGCAGCCTGGCAGTCACTTCCAGGAACTTTCTAGTGTTCAATTATTATTTTATAGATGAAGGTTCCTGTTCAGTCCCTGAGACGACTTCTGTTGAGACTTGGAGCTGAAGAAATAAACTGAACTTTTATAGAACAGTCAAGTGGTCAAATGTATTTTCTCTGATCATTGTCAATACTTTACGTGTCTTGATGACAGAGAGACCGTGCCTCACCTGTCCCCCCTGACTGCACGTCTCTGGTCTAGTGGTTCTGCACTTAATGCTCCTCAACCTCCTTCCTGAGGGGAGCGGGGCAGAAAGTGTGTGTGCTGGGTGAGTGGGGTCCTTCATGATGCAGGTGGCACTCTTCCTCATCGACAGTCGTGTCAAACTGGTTCAAAACCAATAAAGTCCATGCTCAATAATCAATTTTCAGAAAAAAAAAAAAGAAACTGTCCAGATGACCTGACTGAAAATTGTTGGATTGTATACCTGGATTATTACCTGACCCCCCCCCGCCCCCCCCTCAGATGAAAGACAAAACGTTTCTACATTTTGTTTGTTTGTTTGTTTTTTTAATGTCCAGAGGACCAGACTTAACTTTTTTAGATTCATGAGATGATGACTGAGTGATGAACTCTGTGAAGTGATGATCATGATGATGATGACTGAGTGATGAACTGTGTGAAGTGGTGATGATGATGATGATGACTGAGTGATGAATTTCATGAAGTGGTGATGATAATGACTGAGTGATGAACTCTGTGAAGTGATGAGGATGACTGAGTGATGAACTCTGTGAAGTGATGAGGATGACTGAGTGATGAACTATATGAAGTGATGAGGATGACTGAGTGATGAACTCTATGAAGTGATGATGATGATGACTGAGTGATGAACTCT